TGCTAGTCACCTCTTTGAGATAGGAATGTCCTCACACAACATTACAAATGTCCTGCAGAATGGTTTGTAAACTTACTGCAGGCTGCCGTAAGGGCAAAAAAATCACTGTGCTCTTCTGTCTTATTTCTAAAATGAGAGTACACAGAGGTCTGTTGTGGGGCAGGCTGAGATTTCCAGATAGTAAGAATGGAAGTAGCCCTTGAACTTTTACCTGTCACCTTCACCCCCTTCAGCCCTCCTAGCTACGTGGCACTGCCACGAGGAGCCTTAGGCTTTCTCCTCCATGGGTAACACATACGGGTCTTTTACCTCTCAGTCACTGGCTACTTGCAGCACTTAAAACTGACCGACCAGCCATTCTCTTCCCGCCTCTCGATCTAACGCACTGACACCACTCTTCTCTACGGATCCACAGTTGAGGAGGCAGGGTAACAAACAGCTCACATTCTAGTGGCTGGTCAGGGACTGCTCCTCCCCTATGGCAGACGCACAAGGCTCAGCAGACTGGCAGTGAAGGAGACCAGTAAGAAATATTGCTTTTATCCCTCTTTTAAAGCTGCTGTATTTATGTAAACTTTTCTCATATTTTTGTTAAGGATTACTTTCTTTTCTTACACATTTTAAAGAATTTTGAGCACATACAAAATTAGGCAGAATAAACAAACTCCTCTTGTATCCATCTTCCAGCTTCAGTAATGATGGAACCACCACCATTCTTGTTTCATCTCTAGTCCTATGCATTCTTCTCTCCTGTTTTGCTTTACAGCATATCCCAGATAGCTTTATCATTTTATGTGTAAATACTGCTGTAAGTATCTCTAAGGCACATGAACTCTGAACTTCATTTCAGAAAATGTAGCCAAACCATTCTCATTTTCCCTTTGATTCTATTTTTCACATAATACATCTCGCCGGAATTTGAAAAATTTCTGTGGGTATCCTTGAAAATGAGATTTACCTTAACTACCTGTAGGATGATTTACCTTAACTACCTGTAGGATTATGGAATGATAACAGATTTTGAAATCTCTGCTAAATATCTCATGAAAACCACAGGAACAAAAATGGAAAGAACAGAGTCTTTCCTCCTATTTTTCTTCAAAAGGCAAACATTTGTCCTGCACCCACCATATGTAGCAGCTTCCTTTGATTCTGGGTGGTTAACTCCGCTTCCTGACCAAGGGGAAGTAAGGTGACAGAGACTAAGTCTTATCTACACGCTGCTACCTGGCTGAAAAAGTATCTGAACTCAGCCTGTCTCGTTTGGAAGACCGGGCAGTTTTGTTTCCACATACATTTTTTTGGTAGTATGAGCACCGCACCCAGAATTAGAAATGCTTTCTCTCTTTGCCCTTTCCCGGGATCTTAGGATATCACAAACCTGAGAAGGAAGGGCTTTTCTCCAACACCCCCACTGCATGGAGAAGTACTGAGGAGCCTGGCTCTATGAGGGAACTTTCCAATGTCAGTCAGCTAGTGACTTCAGGGCCAGCAACAAAATCACGTTTTATGTCTTTGAGGCAGTGCCCTTTTTCCCTATACTGCCTTATCTCTGGGTATAATAGTTCCAAAACTCTTCTTCCTGCTGTAGTTCTTTGCTTAATAACATGTTAGAACATCCAAAGACTGACAGCATTTGGGAAGTTCTTGTAACAGCAGGGCATGAGCACCGAAGGTCACACACAAAGTCACTCAAACATTCCTCGCTGTGCCCCAAAGCATATCACAAGAGCACACAGTCTTCCTGCAGACTGCTTAGCAGCATGTGCTGGATTACCGACAAGCTTGAAGAAAACTGAAGTCACATTTCAGGAAACACTAGTGATAATCTACTGAGATATCCCATAACTAAAATCATGAGACAGAGATCTCCAAAGAGAAGGCTTTCAGAACTGGTACCATACCTATACACATTGCATGGCCATAGGACCAAGACCTCCAGCACCAGTGAGAATGTTTCCAGTATATCCAACTTGACTTGTATGTTCACAATAGCTTCACGAAGCTGGCAAACCAGGTTTTACAGAGAACTACTGATGGACGTTATACTTTACCCCTATGGTAGTTATAATCTGTAGACAAGATGAATGAAATCTTGCCTTTACTGAGCACTTACTATCCACCAGGAAGTGTAAGAGATAAAAGGAGAAATGTAAAAACCAGACTTCACCCTCTAAGATATGTCAATCTGCCTGAAGAGGCATGACCGCATAAACATGCCGCAAAACTCATTAAAGAGAAATAGGGCACTGCAGCAAAATTTTTCAGGTAAGAGACTTGGTCTGGTCTACAGCCTTCTTTTAGCCCTTGGAATGCGATCATTAGGTCCTGAATTTCTTGGAAGGCTGGGAGACATGCAGATACCAGCTGACAGGAGAAGACCTGAAAGCCTATTTATAACAAGCAGGAGGGAACAAACACATGCCCCCATGGAGCACAGAAACAGAAGGCCTATGTAAAGCAGCATCTTTAAAATGCTTTCTGCAGCCTGGAAGAAACAGCAGCTTCTCCTCTGAAGACTGAAGTTTAATGTCTGTGTCTTAAAGGCAGGGTCTCTAAACTACGTTTTCCAGAGTGATTACAAATTCTTTTCATGTATCAACTTCAGGTTTTCATATTCACTGCTGGGACACGTTAGTTTCTGTAATTTTTTGTTGGAAAACATTTCTCATCTTTTCAAAACCCCATATGAGGCCGGGGAAACAGCTCAGCAGCACAAGCACCTAATTAGCAAGCGCAAGGTCCTGAGTTTGATTCCTGGTACCAAACAACAAAACCACATGTGATTACCTAAATTTCGCTAACATGTTTATATTTTCTTATAAAGAATCAAACTTGAAACAGCCTTTAGGTATGAATAAGGATTATAAGATCTTCAATATTCTAGCATTCCTTACTAAAAAAAAAAAAATATTAGGTCTGAGATTCTGAAATTATATGGTAGGCAGCACCCACCCCATCACCTCCAATGAAAAACCCAAAGTGGCCAAAAATAAGATCACTGAAATTGTATGTTTTATTTCTTATTTTAAGTTGCAGACGTAAAGTATTACAAATTATGAACACTGTAATCAATAGTTAAGTTCTAATACACTTCAGTAAATGTTGCAGACTGCTTCTCTTGAAGCTTTTCCATTCAAGAATGAAATTATAGTTCATTAAACAACTAAGGAAAAAAATAAAGGTCCCATTTTGCTCCAGTATACACAATCTAAATTAGGGTTAAAATGCCAACACCAGCTCCATTCACAAGAAAGAAAACTGGCCTTCATGCAAAGCCACTAAGTAATATTTAAGAACCCACAATGTTTCCTGTCCCTGTTTAAGAACAAAAAACATCCCTACTTTCTATAAATAATGTGATACAGGGTTTTTATTCATACTTAAAACCTCTATAATTATTGGTCTTCATTTTATGAACATCTAAATCTTTCAGGCAAATCTTACCTTAAAACTGGAAAAAGATATTGAAGCTGAAAGAACCTCTGGACACTGTTAAATGTCAGGGGACAGGTGACAAAAAGTCACGATCCAGGCTTTGACCACTGATCCGTGCCGCAATTTTTGACTGCGGGGCTTCTGTAGTTTCTGCCTCCCTCTAACATGAAAGGTTGGAACAGGCCATTGCTATTTGAGTTGAAGAAAGTATTATAAAGTAAAAGCAATACTGTGAAATATGAGAGACTACTTCCCCCCTATAAGCACTAAAAAAGATTGTTTTCTCTGAAGGAGACTTAATCTTTATATATTATGCAGAAATTTGTTTTATTAAATTCATGCACCCACATTTCAAGAAGTGAAATGAGACATCGGAACTCTAAAGGAATAGAATGAGTCTCCCCGTGATTAGGTTAATTCGTCAATGTTGAAACTACTTTATCTGCATAGTTGGAAGATATATTGAATTTAACTGGATGAGTCCAGCTAGGAAATCTAGGTGAACATATGACTTTTTCTGAAAAGTTGTCTATGAACAAATAATGTAGTAATGGTGGCATAGTTTTTTGATTTTTTTTTTCTTCCTTTCATGATGTTCTACTCCTTCAATTTTGGGCTGAATCTTTAGCAGTCTGTCACTATACCATGCAGAGAACTATGGAGATGTTTCATTGGTCAACATGAACTTTGTGGATTACTTCAGAATTTAAAAATGCATGCTGAACACAACAGTAAAAATAACATCCTCTAAAAATGACCTGAAAAGACCTTCTAATTGCTACTCTCTGAATATATACATATATATATATATATATACACACACACACACACACATATATGTGTGCCAATGTTGAAACCTATATATATGTGCATGCCAATGTTGAAACCAATTATAACCAATTATACTATCCTTATGCTTTTAAGTAGTGGAGCTATAAATGTTAACTATTAGAAAATGTGTTACGTTCACTAAGAAGGATCTTTGCTCTTAGTAGTTATATTTTAAATACCCATAAACTAATTCATCTATTTGGTTATATATTGCTAAATAACTTTTCTCTTGCTTTTAGGCAACTTTCAGATGAACTGAACTCCATTTCATCAACCATTCCATATTCCTCATGGAGCTAAAAAGATAAATACAAATGTCAAAAAACCCAACTCTACCCAATAAAAACTAACATTTTCATACCTGTACTTAGAATGAACCATTTTATTTTAACAGTAAGGTTATATTTCCACTTTATTTCTTAAAACATCTTCTTTACTTTGGATTTTTGTTAGCTTTTGAAAAATTCACTCATTTAAATATAACAACATGTTTTTTATAAGGTCATTATCCCTTCTAATTTCAGCATATTATCCAAGAAGTAATATTTAAGCTTGTAACTGGGTGAGAATCAACCAAAATCTCAAATGATTTTTACTTGAGGGAATAGCTTCAGCAATGGGGGAAAACATACAAACAAACGGAACTATTCTGCAAGCCTCAGGATGGTCTGGAAATGAATGGCACCATGAGAAAGAGGAGGAGGTAGGCATCACTGGAAACGTCTGCTTACCCCTTGTTCAGATTCCAAAAGCTCTGTTTTCACTCTGACTGCCGGCATCCCATCAAGCATTAACATTCTGTTCTCAAAGGTGTCGGTATTCTGAGAATAAAAAAGGGGAGGGGAGATTCAGCTATAAAGCAGCAAAAGCGGACGTGTGGTGGAGTCTTCCTTCACTGGAGTACCTCTAGCGCTGCTAACCTAATTCTTTAACAGTGAAGTACAATTAAATGTGAATATCAGCATAACCAATTATCCCAATCTGAACTTTCATTTGAAATAATGACCAAGAAGTTGAATTAATCAGCCTGATGCTTTGACCTCTGGGTTGGAGGTCAGACTGTAATAAACTGAAGTCTGGAAACCTTACATTAATTTATATGGGGCTGAAACAATTTATCACAGTATCTCAATAGTGGAAGAAACTGTAAGGCAAGTTTTTCTTTTCCTTAGTTCTAGAGGTTGTCTCTTGTACAGACATTCATAAAAGAGAAAATTAGATAAAAAAATTACTTATCTATTCTCAAAGCCTAAATAATTTAAAAGCAAGAAAATATAACTCTAGAGTAATTTAATTTATATATGATGACAATTTTGATCATATGGAAATTTATACGAACCCCCCAAAATATTTAAAAACAGGCAACATAATTGTAGATTAAGAATGATTTCTTGAGGCTCTAGCTAACTTTTTTCCCCTTTTCTCATATATGTTTCACTCAATTTACCACCTCTTGAAAGGAAAACCTTATTTATATTGTGGCTCAACAGAATTTCAAACAACATCTATAAGAGGATTAAATCAAGTTTATTTTCTACTACTTTTCATTGCTTTAGGAATTTCCTGAAGTCAGTAACCTAGGAAAACAGTCAGACAGTCACACATCAGGGGTTGCTCAAGACCACATCAGGCTTACATTTTAGAATGTGTTTAGCATGCCAACTTTACCATCCTTGTGCACTGACCAAAGTAAGAAAGTGATATGACTAAATTTGACTGAGCTTTTAGAACAGTTATTTTTGCTCCATTACAGAATATAACCATAATGCGAAAGTGATTTTACTAAATGTAAAAAAGCTTAGCTACTAAATATTTTACATAGTTTAACAAAAACTGTAATTTCTGAGCCTTCTGTTTTACAATTAAAAAACTTCATTAGTACATGTTTATAATACATAATGGTTACATTCATCATGGGGAATTGGTACATGGACATAACACGTCCTAATTCTTTTCACCTCTCCCTATCTACACACTGATTTCATAAAGCTTTTCCATAAAATAGTTAAATCAAACTCCCCATTTCACTCTGTCATAAATTAAATGTTTTTACTACTTAATAATACCAACGAAGTGTGGTATAGTGAAGCTCTACTGATGTCTTCTTTCTACTTTGTGAAATAAAGCTTATGGGGCCCCTTATTGTAAGTAAGTGCTCTGAGAAATCAACAAAAAGAGAAAATTTATTCTCATTATCTAACAAGTATTTAAAAAAAATTAATGCCACCTAGCCTATTAGATAACAGAAAGAAAATATATTGGAGTCCTTCTTTCCTTGAAAATACATGTATTTTCAAAATGGGAGGGACATTTTTTCTTATTTTTTTTTTTAGGGATTTTGCATCCTTTCTGCTACTTAGAGCACAAGGAACTGTGGTCTTGCTGGTGAGCTCAGTCAATTCGTTCCAAACTTAAAATCCTTTCATCAAGGCCTGTGGTTGTTTACACATCGGGCACAGATCTCAAATCCTCGTGTCACTAGCTTCCGTCCTTGGAAGCAGCCAGCTTGGCATAAGACCAGCCCAGTCTCGGGAAAGCCTTCCTGCAGTTAGCCAGCCCTCAACTCCCCAGCCTCCCACAGCAGTGCGCAAAAGCTGCCTTAACAAAGCTGCCCACAGGCTCTTTGGTTGGTGGACAATGAAGGATGAGTTGATATTCCTTCCTACCCTAGAGGAGGTCTTCCCTAGAATGAGAAAGAAGAAGATGCCTTGTAATGGAGGCCTAAGCAAAGGAGGAGAAGAGACAAAGAGCAATTCTGGAAAGGCAGGTTTAATGAACTGTTAGAATCTGATTAGAGGCTAATGTCCCTTTGAGTGCTTTGTACCAATTTACAGCTGATATACTTTAAGCATTTTCCCCACTGACTGTGATAAACTCATTGGTTTTAAAAATGCAAGCTAACCAGAGTCTTTTGAAGTTAAAAACTGATAAATCATGAAAACCTGGTTGGGTCTATGTTCCATTTAGCACATTTAAATACCACTGCATTTTCATATGATTTTTCAGTTTTTCATTGTTGGTCGTGAATAATTCCAGCTGCGTTAGAGTCACGATGTACATTTTAGTTTATGTAAAAATGAAAAACTGTGATCTTTTTTAAAGAAATCAAGCTTTCCCCGGAAATATGATTTCCCCTTCTATGATTTTCCAAGATCACTCATAGCCACAACTATAGTAATTACAGAACCATAAAGAACAATATTCACAGGCAGGGAACCAAGTATCAACTGTTTCAATTAGTGCAGATAGCTTTCAGGTGTGTACTGTCACTACCTCGTATATGAAGCATATTAAGCTGTGCATTGCTGATTCAAAGCTTGCCTCACATACAGATTAAGCACTAAGCACCACAGCATGTTCAAATCACCCAGGAAAGTGAATGGTTTTTAACTATACAGCACTGAAGATACAGTCCTTGGAACAAAATATTGATAGACTTAGCTCACTAAGCTCAGACACATACAATCTCAGGTGACTACAGACTTTATACATGTGATAGGTTCTAATAACATGGAATGGCTGTCAAACCTATCTTGCTATAATCTTAATCAAAACACATCTTCTGTGGAATCAATAGCTCAATTGGTTCCCAAGGGGTAAAATAATTATTAAGCAATCAGTTTTAGTGCCATCGTACTTTTTGTGCATTTATGGTGTGCACTTTTGATATCATATGACCTTCAGAATTATAACGTGTAATGTGTATTATGTATACATTATAATGTGTATAAAATTTGTAATTATAATGTGTAATGTGTATTATATACACATTTGCACACACATGTGTGCAGGCTACTTGTTTCCTATGAGTGAATTTTATCAATTAATGTAAAATTCACTACAGGATTTGTTAGCTGGCTACTGGTCAGCCACGCACACTAAATGAGAACAGAGCTCTAGGTAGCCCTTACCTACCAAATAAGATCTGGCAACACAGTAACACACAAGTTAGTAGTTTTCATACTCAAAAGCCATATAAACTATCATAGCAATTGATCCCAATATCCCGACATATCTAGAATGACACTTGCTTCAAGGAAAAGGGACAGCTCTTCGATGGCAGTAACTCATAAACACACACAATGAAGGTGACTCAGAATTTTATACAGTAAGGGTGACTTCCCAGGTCTACTACCTGCCCTCTCCCATAATCCAAGTCCTTTTCTCTGCCTCCTTGTGACTGGGGGTTAGTCTGCAATGCTGGAATAAAAAACTAGCCAGTGAATACTCAGTAAGGTCTCCTTTCCTAAGCCAAAAATGTTTTCTGGTGTTTGCTTTGCTCTCTGTATGTACAGGCCATATTTATTTATGTGTGTATCAACTTAAATCTTCATGACCAGTGACAGGGGATGAGGCACCCTTGCCCCATGCCCATGTTGCATTAAACAATGAGGTGAGGGACACAGAAGTGGTTTGGGATTCACCAAGTCAAGTTCCTGAGGCATTTTTCATGGCAGACTCTTAAAGCTTTAAAATGGAAGCACGTCAAAAAGAATGTCATCTTGTAGAAAAAGACAGAATCACATTACAGAAAATTAGACTTCTTAGAGAAGTCACATCCCTCCTCTTTTTTGGCTAATCTCTACCATAGCAACAACAACAAAAACACACCAACAATGGCGAATTTTTTCAGATTCCACACCAAAGATGTACCAGACCCACCAACTAACAGGCTAACAACTACACAAAATGTGTGCTGAAATACAAGAGAATCAGTGAAATCCTCCGATAGAGGACTATCAATCCTGATCCTTCTGCACAAGGGCTATCAAACCTAACAGACTAGAATGATGCTTAGGTAATAATTTTAATTATTTACTGCTACATGACAAGGCGTACAGTGGCACGAAACGAATAATCATTTTTGTTATTATCTTGGTAACATAATAACTCATGTTTGCATAGTTCCACATCTTAAGAGCTATGCATACAGATACTCATTTAACTCTCACAGAAATCCAAGAAGTTGATGCCATTATTATCTGAAATTAAAGCATCTGAGAGACAAGGGAGTTAAGCTGCCCAAGGACACACAATTAGCAGGCAGTACACCTCTGTTTTAAACCCAGTGAATCTGACCCTAAACTTCACTCTTTAACAACTACACTCCATCTATATTCCTCCCTTCCTATCAATATGCACCCCACACACAAAAACAGAAATAATACGAACACCTTATTGAAGGTCTCACCAGAGGAGCTCTGTATCTAGGTAACAGCTCTTCCCAGGGCTTATCTGACTTAGCCATGGGACTAAATGTGAAATTTCTGCTCACTGATGAGTGTATTTTGGGAAATAATAATGTTAAGTCAAACCAACCTCTGGATTCTAAGCTATTTCACATTTTTCTCATTAAATCGAGTTTTCAGTATGTTTTTTAAGTTAGTGAGAGTATATGTTTCTATTGTAGTAGTGTCTCATAATTAATTTAGCAAGTCAGTTTATCCTTATTTCACCATCCAGAAAATCTCGCCTAGGCTCATCTGCTATGCTGTGTTTTGAAAATATTCACATCTTTGACGGCTAGTTCAATATTTTTACAACAGTTTCATATACTTGGGTGAAATAGTAACTTAATCTCTCACATTTTACACTCAAAGATAGATGCATTTTGGTGTTATATTTTAAATAATTGTGAAGATTAAGTGTAAAAGATATTTTTCAATGCTTACCTATCCTTCTTCATAATTCAGTTTTATAGAGCACATATGAATAAGCAAAGTATGGGAAATGGTACAAACTAAACATCACTTCAAACAGAGACTTTTCCATTTGAACCTAGTCTTTCATCTTTCATTCCTTTGCATATCAGGAGAATGAA